TTTTGGCAAGATTGCCATTTTTACTATCTTGATCCTGCCTATCCAAGAGCATGGGAGATCTTTCCATTTTGGGGTATCTTCTTTAATTTCTTTCTTTAGAGACTCAAAATTCTTACGGTACAGGTCTTTCATTTTTGGTTAGTGTTACTCCAAGGTATTTTATGTTATTTGTGGCAATTGTAAAGGGTGATGCTTCTCTGATTTCTTTCTCCACCAATGTGTCATCCGTATATAGTAGGGCTACAGATTTTTTTCTGAGATAATCTTGTATCCTGCCACTTTGCTGAAGGTGTTTATAGCTGTAGGAGTTCCCTGATTGAGTTTTTCAGGTCACTTATGTAGACTATCATATCATCTGCAAATAGTGACTATTTGACTTCTTCCTTTCCAATTTGTATTCCCTTGATCTCTTTTTGTTGTCTTATTGCTCTAGCTAGAACTTCAAAGACAATATTGAAGAGGTTTGGAGAGAGTGGACAGCCTTGTCTTGTTTCTGATTTTAGAGGAATCGCATTGAGTTTCTCACCATTTAATTTGATGTTGGCTTGCTGTATATTGCTTTTATTACGTTGAGGTATGTTCCTGTTATCCCTGATTTATCCAGGACCTTTATCATGAAGGGGTGTTGGATTTTGTCAAAGGCTTTTTCGGCATCTAGTGAGATGATCATGTGATTTTTTTCCTCAGTCTGTTTATATGGTGGATTACATTGATGGATTTTCGTATGTTGAACCATCCTTGCATCCCTGGGATGAAGCCTACTTGATCATGGTGGATGATTTCTCTGATGTATTCTTGGGTTTGATTTGCCAGTATTTTATTGAGTATTTTTGCATCAATGCTCATGAGGGATATTGATTTGTAGTTCTCTTTCTTAGTTGTGTCTTTGTGTGACTTGGGTACCAAAGTTATTGAAGCCTCATAAAGAGTTTGGCAATGACCCTTCTGCTACTATTGTGTGGAATACTTTGAGGAGAATTAGTATTAGCTGTTCCTTGAATTTCTGGTAGAATTCTGCACTGAAGTCATCTGGCACTGGGCTTTTTTTGGTTGGGACACTTCTGGACAAGGCTTCTATTTCCTTAGGGGTTATCGGTCTATTTAAGTTGCTTATTTGTTCTTGATTTAATTTTGGTAAGTGAAATCTGTCCAGATAATTGTCCATTTCCTTTAGATTTTTGAATTATGAGGAATATAGGTTTTTGAAGTTTAACCTGATGATTCTCTGGATTTCCTCTGTGTCTGTTGTTATGTCCCCCTTTTCATTCCTGATTTTATTGATTTGCATATTCACTCTCTGGTAAGTTTGGATAAAGGTTTATCTACCTTGTTGGTTTTCTCGAAGAACCAACTCTTTGTTATATTGATTCTTTGTATTGTTCTCCTAGTTTCCATTTTATCGATTTCAGCCCTCAATTTGATTATTTCCTGGTGTCTGCTTCTCCGGCGGAGGGGGCGGGTATTGGCTTCCTTGTGTTCTAGAGCTTTCAGTTGTGCTGTTAATTCTGTAGTGTGATTTTCTCCTCTTTCTTCATGTGGGCACTTAATGCTATGAACTTTCCTCTTAGCACTGCTTTCATAGTGTCCCATATCCCTCAAGTTTTCTACCTGATAGTTTCTGAACCTTGCCAACCCTGACCCACACTGATAAAGAATTCCTTCTGTCAAGAGTGATGCAGCTAGTTTCCATAGTGGTGCCATGGCCATCCTCCCCTCAGGTCAGATATGACATTGATTCTGACTAATTCAAACAGAAATTGTATTCTTTACATTGGTGTGGCTTATAACCCCCCAATGACCCTCTCCCTGAATGTTTTCTTCCCTCTACAAAGCTATCATTTCTATTTGACCATGCTAAGCACAGAGATCAGAGGGTAAGCTCATTTGTCTGTCCTTGCCTCTACCTTGAGATAAGGTCTCCTACTGTTCACCATGTCCAGCTTTATGTGAGTGCTAGAGATTTAAACCCAGATCCTAGGGCTTGCAAGGCAAGTGCTTACCCACTGAGTCATCTCTCCAACCCCGAGAAGAATTTTATGAAATGCCTCTTTTGAGTATAATATATATTCACAGAATACATTAATATGAAAGTCTCCAAAATAACCATGCTTAATTTTTTAATGTAAAAATCATTATAGTGGGTTTTGTTTGGTTGGTTCATCTTTTTAAGATGAGGGTCTCATGTTGCCAGACTAGATTTGGCTTTTATGTAGCCAAGGATGACTTTAAATTTCTGATCCTCCTTCCTCCATATCCCAAGTACAGGGATCACAGGCATGTGTCGTGGCACTAAGAATTGCCTCTGGTGTTAAGCACTCAGCATCCTTGAGTGTCAACCACAGCAAATGAAAGAACAATGATGTAAAATAAAGTGACAACTACTTGAAGTACTTCTACTCGAGAAGAGAGGACAGCAGCCACAGAAGGTGTTTCTGACAAGCCATCAATTCTAACCATCACAATGGGGACATTTCTCATTGCACTGCTTGTACATTGCACATCCAGAAAATTATGGTAACACTTTAGCTCTTAGTGCTCACCTTAATTCTGCTACAGCATGAGCCCTCTGTAACTTACTCCATCTTAATGTGCACCACAGTTCTGTGTGGTCTGGATAAAAATGGCCCCCATAGACTCATATGCTTGAATACTTGGTTGCTGATTAGTGGAACGCTTTGAGAAGGATCAGAAGACACCTTGTCATAGGAACTGTGTTGCTAGGGGTGGGTTCTGATGTTTCAAGAGACTCCAACCATTCCTGGTGTTCCCTCTCTCTGCCTTGTGACTGAGGACTGAGATGTAATTCTCAGCTATTCCTGCCATCATGCCTTCACTCCACCACCATGGACTCTAGCCCTCTGAAACAGTTAAGTCCAATGAAATGCTTTTTTTCTTAATGTTTTCTTGTATAAGCTGTCCTTGTAGAGGTGTTTTTATCATAGCAATAGAAAACTTAGACACTCTTAAGAATCCTCTTCAAATCATTACAAAGCAGTAGGAACACCTTAGATCCCCCCTAAAGGACTGGGGAAGCTTCTGCTGTCCATTTCCATCTTTGTAGGTTGAGTCTCATGTTCTTCCCTACTTCCCACAAGTTAACACTGCAGTAGAAACTGAAGAGAGGCCAAATGAATGATCTGAACACACAGCACAGTTGAAACAGTCTCAGGCAATTTTGAGTTACTGTAATTTTCTTCTGCTAAGAGAAGTGGTAGTTTATGTGTCTGACCCCTGTCTTGCCTATGTATCCTTCCAAGGGATGCTTGGAAAGAGGGCTAGAAGTCAAGTCAGTTCTCCCTAGTACTGCAGGAATCACTATGGTTTATTGAGACCTCAACCAAATTTTTATAGCCTGTTCACAGAACCAAGTGATCTGAAGTGAAAGCACAAGGAGATGGCATGCTGGAATGTTAATACAGGCTTGGTACTCAGATCTAGGGCTGAATCATGTCTCGGCCTCTTGCTATTATGGAATCTTGGGCAATTTGATTTTGAGGCTAAAGTTTCTCAGCCTTAGAACAGTACACATCTACTAAGGAAGCTGTAAAAATCAGAAAGAAATAACATCTATAGCACTTAGCACAGGGTCTCAAACGTTAACTCTCCCAATTAATGCCATTATCAATAGTAAGCTCTCCACAGAGAAATCCCGAGTTAAACACTAATTTAGGTCATATTTTCAACAATTTAGATGTCTTATAAAAGGCTTCAGGTTAAAGTGATGATGACAACTTATTTTATTACCATCAAGTTCACAAAAGTGATCCTGTGAGTCATCATATCTTGCCCAGTCAATGAATGCTTCTTTGCTTTCATTACTATGGGAAGGAAGAATAAAAAACAATTATATTTGGAGCTGAAATTTTAAAGTTGTATTTAATGAACAAAAATAGAGATCGTTTCTTCAGAAGGTGACGCCACAAACTCTAGCAGTAGTTAAATGAAGGAATGATAAAAAGTCATATGAGAAACAGCTACCAATTTGATGCATTGCTTATATTTCCTAACTACTTTAAAATGATTCTTAGCCCTGGTTAAGTAATTATTTTGAATTTATTTACAAAATATACAAGCGCTTTACATACAAACTCAAGGTCACCATTTCATCTGACATACAAATTGTAGTAATGTTATTTTTTTCCTAAAACAGAAGTTCAGCTTGTTTTCTGAATTCTTTAAATTTAAGTTGCATCTATATTTATAGAACCCTCAAATATTAAAATCATAACCCCGGCTGTGGGAGGCAGAGGCAGGCAGATCTCTGAGTTCAAGGCCAGCCTGATCCACAGAGTGAGTTCCAAGACAGCTAGAGTTACACAGAGAAAACATACCTTGGGGGGAAAGTCACTAATAATAAACTAAGTACAACTAAACTTGCCTTAATGTACTATTGATGGCGCCCAGCTTGTTAGCCTGCTCACAGTCTTCCAATTCTTTGGTATTGTTTGCTGCTTGCAAGTACTACAAGAAAATTCATACAAAGTGATAGTGATTAACTCTTCTTTAGCAGACAATCAATGATGACATGTTCTGTCATCAAAATCCTTACTGTAAGAAAAGACTTAAAAACAAGGCATGAATCTCTACCCATTAAGTGAGCAAAGGCTTTCAAAATGCAACAGTTAGCATGTGTGTGCTGGTGATGATGTCACCTGGGAAAGAAATTGGATAAATATATATCTAGAATTTTACAGACACTAAGTCCTTAGAATGGAGTCTTCAACTTAGACCATATCCCAAAGAAACATTTGTTACTACCACCATCCAACTGTTCTGCACCCTATTGTCTAGCATCTCACTTCTTTACACAGTACTAGGGAACTTCCATGTGCACACAATGAAGCCAGAGGCAAAAATGCCTGTGCTTCACTGCACGAGCAAAGAACCAGAAGATTGAAATGCTCACATGTAGGGTGGCTACTGTTAGTCACATATCACTGTGAGGATGAATGTACAAGATCCAACGTGTCAACAGAGAAAGAGGCGTAGAAGGAAAAACAATGAGTCAAAATGTAAAATGAAAAGTATTTCCAACTTGAAGAAATTCATATTGCTAAAATTTTTAACTTTCCATAAATTATATATTGTATTTCAGATACATGCTCTGAAAGTGCATTATTTATAGACAGATACATATATAGTAAGAGTAGACCCACGTAAGTCACTTCAGGAAATGAATGGCTCTGGAGAGGAGCAAGTAAAATGGGATTAGAATGGTGCTCACTGGGGTTGGACTATCTCGATATTGCTTTATTACAGCTTTGAAATCAAAGTAAATATGAACAAGTGAACATCAACAATTCATGGAAGAGATGGATAAACAAGGAAACAGTACACAAGAAGGCAGAGAGAAAGTGAAAGATCTTCATTGTGTATATTCAGAAGTGGAAAATGAGTTAACTGCCAGCTAGGAACACAGCTTACTCATTTAAAAAAAGGGGGGAGCACAAAGAATACCTTAACACCATTTCCAAGTACTTGGCTCAAAATCTCTTGGTGATAATTTTCTTTACACAGTGTAACCTGAATCTAACAGAGACACTAACTGAAACAGAAGACTGGAAATAGCTACTAACATTTTTGCTGTAGTTACAGTTTATAGAGTTTTTCTATCTAGAGATTCTGCAAATGGATGTAATTTCAAAAGAAGCTAGGCATGCATGGCCTTACTGCTTGATTCAAGAGTTAACAATTTGAATTCTGAGGTCAATGCCTCCATTCTCAACTAAACTCATGGCTCTCTACTGCCCCCAGTATGCAGAAGTATTCAAGGAAGAAAAGTAACTTACCTTATTTGAATGCCCAGCTTTAATTCCAACTGGAATTTTACTCTTAAAAGAAAAAGAGCAACATTACTTAGAAGAAAAGAAGAAGGGATGGCTGCTATCAGGGAAAAAGAGGGGAATAAAAGGAAACTGATCTCAAAATGCATATTACTTTGCTTCCTATGTTATGACTTCTCTCTCTTAAAAAAATTATACTTTATGAGTGTTTTGCCAATATATATGCACAAGCACCATGTGTATGCCTACTGTCTGTGCCAGCATAGAGAGCAGGCATTGGATCCCCTGGAACTGTGGTTATGGATGGCTCTGAGCTACCATGTGAGTGCTGGTCCTCTGTAAGCCAGGTCCCTGTATAAGTGTAGCAAATGCTCTTAACCCCTGAGCCAACTCTCCAGCCCCTGTTGTGAGTTTTTCAATAAACAATGTGCTTATTTCTTATTAGAAATGTAACACAGAAGAGGCTATAATGCACTACAGATGGAAATTAATGGATCATTTGAATTTATGAATTAAACTCTCAGCTTAGAAACCTACTATGAAAAAAAGAAAAAAGAAAAGAAAAGAAACCTATTATGACCCAGCCAGCATTGTGGTTCATACTTGTGATCCCAGAACTCGGGAAACTGAGGAAGGAAAACTGCCATATTCAAGGCTAGCCTAGGCTATAGGTCAAGAACCTATGGCCCTAAGCTTCTTAATGAATTAGATAAAATCCAAAGCCACACACACACACACACACACACACACACACACACACACACACAGAGGGAGATTCATAATCTGTGAGGTCAATATATCTTTTATTAGATAAACGCCAGCCAAACGCAAGCCAGAGCATGCCAGGGGCAGCAAGGCAGGGAGGCCAGAGAAGGGGCCCCCATGTGCCTTGTCTGTCCCTTTAAACCCTATCCAGCGTCACTCTGACATCACCTTGACCATGCCCTGACAGACACACCTGTAGCAAGCTTCTAGCAGGTGTGGCTTACCTTGTCCCCTACACACACACACACACACACACACACACACACGTATTAAAGTCAAATTGGTCAGGTCTAGCTACACGGCACAGGCTGAGGCAGGAACATTATCAACTTCCAGGCCAACCCAGGCTACATAATGATACCCTATCTCAAACAAAAACAAAGCCAAATAGTGAAATCCTAATAGTCAACAGCAAGAAAATTTGCTATTTAATAATGGGCAAGCCTAGGTATGTAGCTCTGTGATAAGGTGCTTGTTTGGCACGTACAGGTCCTGGGTTCTGATCTCAGCACTAACACCACAAGAAAAAATGCATACTGGATCCTATTCCAGAGGAAAAGAAACTGAAGAGATGGTACAACAAAATGCATATTTAAATATGACTGGATTGAAAAGCTACAAAGGACGCACATAGTCAGTTGATGATATTGATTACTGTCTATCAGAATGAGACCTCTGGATGGTATTAAGATTAATATCCTGATTTTGTTAATTTTTCTATAGTTATATACAAAAAAGTCTATATAGCAGTATTCCGACATAAAGGACCTGTCTACAGCATGCTGAAACGGTTCTGAGGGTAAAGCAAACCAGGTGAGCATGTGCACCTAGGGGATCTGAGTGAACAGGTCCATGGTGTCCTTGGACCATTCTTAGAACATTCCTTAGAACTGAGATCATTTAAAACTACAACCAGTTCCCATGAATATCTTATCCTTGTTGGAGAAGCAAGATCATTTTTAAAGAATCTTCCATTTATATGACACTGACCCAGATGTTCTTTTTTAAAACTATTTTTAAGTCCCACAAACTGATCTGATTTGGTAAGAAAAGAATTGAAAATTTAAAATATAGCTTAAAACTAACTGTTATTGAGGGAGAATAGTTTTAAATCAATTATAATATATGTGAAAACTGAAGTATCAGAACTTGGGCTATATCTCAGTGGTACCTGCCTAGTGTGTGTGAGAGTGTAGATTTCTCCCTGTGTGTGTCTTTCTGTGCTCTCTCAAGACATACCCCTCACAACCCTCACACCCTAAAATGTAACATTTCCTTGGTAAGAAATATTTTTATGTTTTGTTTATATGGAGGTAAACATACTTTTAAAGAAAAAAAGCCATGAAATGCTACTCTAAGTTGGATTTTATCACTTCATGCACTGAAATCCCCATTTTAAATGTGAAGTTTAAGATCCTGAACTTTTTGCCTATGAAACAAGATCAATGAAACCCACTGCAGGTCTAATCTTAGAATAAGCCTGTGGTCTTCCTCCCATTTAAGAATCAAAACTTATGTCCACACCCACTCACTAACACCAGTGAACACAAGAATTCCTCAATTCATCTTTGAAGGAGTCTAGTCAATAGAGCTGAAAGCCTATGAAATCTGAGGATAGTCCAAATACAAGGCTACAGGGGTTGTGATTTTTTTAAAAGCCCAAGAAGAAGCCCTCCCTAACCCCACCCCTGATTATTATACTCTTACTTACTGTACCTCTGGACAGGGCTCCACATGGCAGTCTTTTATTGAGCAGTGGCCATCTTCTGCCCAAAAAGGACATGGTCGCTTCAGATTAACCTTTCAAGGAAGAACAAATCAACATTAGCAATTGGGTATGATAATTACAGAATGTTTGCCAAATGTCACTATGTTGGACATGGTGACACAGTGGTGATGAGGAGGGAGAAGCTTCTCGACCCTGTGGTGTGTATACAGTTCAGATACTAAATGACTGCAGCTTTGCAGGCACCTGGGTGGCATGTTAACTTCTAAAACAAATGGCTATGGGTTCTCTGAGACTGGAAAAGAGAGACATCATTCAAGTTCACTGCTCATCTGAAGAAAATCTGTCACTGGGCAGCATTTCAGAATGACTTTAACATTCCCCAAACACCTACCACCACCTTAGCATCAGAGTTCCCACACTGCTTTAGTCAGTATGTACTGAGCACTGGCTATTTATCAGACACCAGGTTAGGCTCAAGGCAAAAGAGAACTGTTTCTCCCTAGGACTTATAATATCCCGAAGAAAAGAAAAATCAAATACTCGAACATTTATTTCATTGCAAATTATAGCACATGCTCCAAAGCAGAACCCAGAGTTTTGTAATTAGTGATGCTGATGGATGGAGCCTCTGAGGAGGTCATGCTTTAGGGGGGGGGGGGGGGGGGGGGACACAAGTATTTGGCTACAGCATTGGAGAGCTTTGTGGTGCTAAGAATGAAGAACCACCAGTTCCACCATTTGTAGTGGGGAAAGTATGGACAAAAAGGGCAGAGGTCACATGGTAAACACTTATTTCCAAATTCTTTATACAACAGGAAGCTGATAATCCACAGGACTGTATTTCCCAAGCTTAAAAAAAAAAATCAACGTTTTCTGCTTTCTCTCTTACTTGTTACTTTTTCCCATCTCCCACCACCACCATTTGTCTCTTGCCTAAGCTACTGCAATAGCTTCCAATCTTCTGCCACTACCTATTACACACAGCAACAGTTATTACAAAACCAAGGTAGACCCTCCCAGTGTCTGCTCAGAACTTTTCCTGTGCATTTTCACCTCCCCTGGAGCACATCCAACCCTACAGCAGCTCTACAGGCACTATCTTGTAACCACTGTCATCTGCCACCTACCTCATCTATTATATGACATTTCTACTTGACACACCTGGTTCTTAAGTCCCAAAGCCTCTATACTGCCCATCCTCTTTATCTGCTATTGCTCTTACAGAGGGCTTGTTCTTCGACCTTAGTCAGGTCTTTCAACAGCAGCAGGACTTGACTAGACCCTCTAAAGTAGTACTTGAATGTAACCACCCCAATATATTGCTGTATGGTTTCTGTGTATGTTTGTATATGTGCCATGTGTAATGCTCATGTTTTAAAACTGGCTCCTATCTACCTCTCCAATTCTCCTCCTCATTCACCTGCTTCTGTGGCCTAAGCCTTCTTCTAATTCTTCAAATATAATAAGCCCACTTCTATGTCAAAACTCTCTCATCTTTTCACTCAATTTCCCTGGAAGATTTTCCACAGATCTCACCACCACTTGCACTTTCACATTAGGAAGGTCTCTGCTAAATATCACATTACAATAAATACCATCCTTTCCTGGTCATTTCATCCAAGCAAGCCTACTTATCTCTATATCCCTTGTCCCCACCCCATTTATACCGTCTCCTGCTTTTTCTTTACAGCAGTCACCTTACATCTGACATTACAGTTCACTATTTACTTATTATTTGTCTCTCTAAAGCAGAACAAAATCTTTGTCTGTATCCACAGTACTAAGACTAGAGGCTATCACAATGTCATCAATGTGTCCAATGGCCTAGCTGCAAAGGTAGATAGTTCACTCCTTGTTCAATGAATCCCAAGTATGTATGTGTGTGTTTGAAATCATTTTGTTATTTTTGCCTACTTAACTTACATTTTCCCTTCTTCTGTAACGTCTTCTAATTTTGTATTGATAAACAATGATTCCTCGTGTTCCTTTGAATGGCATGGTCACCCAAGGTATACTTCCTTCTTTCGGAGAAGGTATCACATGACTACCTGAACCAATCATGATTCTCTCCTCCAGAAATCTGACTGTTGCATAAATAGCAAAAAAATATGAGAAAATAGCTAATTCGGTCTGGAAGTTTGGTGAGGGGCTGATGATACAGCTCAGTGGAACAGTGCTTGCCTAGGTGCCTAACATGCCAGATACCCTAGGTTTAATTTAACCACCACAAAGTTTTGGTGATTACCTAGAGACAATGATCACAGGTGCCAGCTCTGCTTTAATCTTTTCTAAAGTATACTACTTCAGTTTTGCAAACTATTCAAAATTTTCTCTTTCTCAAACTTCTGTTTTAGTCAACAAAGTACCCTACTTAGGAAACTCAGGCCTATTATTTCCTCAATTTAAAAATGTGGCTAATAACAAAATTTTCATATGAAGAGTAAATGAGATATCAATTCATCCCAACAGTCAACTCTTCAATGGGCCAGGCCTTGTATGGATACAAAAATAGAAATGCAATCCCTAAAAGGAGGTGTGCATGAATGAGGGTTGGGATGGATTTTGTGGGCACCCAAATGAAGGCAGTCTCTGACAGCACACACAGTTTCTACTATATTAAACTGAACCACATGAAATTGGCATGTTCAACCATTTTTGAAATATAAAAGTAACAATTTCATATCATTTTTCTAATATTATGAAGGAAACAACTACATATACAGTCAGCTGGGAGTCAGAAGCACCTATCTTATTTGAATGAAAAATACCTAAAGATCAGTCAGTTTCGGTACAAATTTGTCTTTGAAATACATCCACCAACTGCACTCCAAACAGATTCTGTACAAAGGAAAACATTCACCCCTTTCTGGATATACTTGGTATTTGAGGGCAAAGGAATGGTTTCCCAAATCTGTAATTTTCTAATTTATCTTCTTGAACAAGCGACAATTGCCAAAAGACTAAAAATTTCACCCTCAAAAATATTTAAAGAGTAAAGATAATTTATTCAGAATCAAGATTAAAAAGGAAACCATGTTTAAATTTTAGAACAAACTAAAATGAAAATCAAATTATATATCAACCAACAAGACCAAAGTCATGTCAAACATAGCTTTAAAATATAGCTGTAAAATAGATTCTGTGCACACACACAGAGGAGAGGGACCAAAGAACAGGGAGTGAATATGGTCAAAGTACATGATGTACTTAAACCAAAAGGCTATCATGAACCCCATTGTTTTGGACAATGAAAACACACTAATAATTTTTTTTAATTCACTAGACTACACCCTTGGTATTTCCTCCTTAAAAATGTAAAATTACAATTGTTTATTTGAGTTCTGATTGCTGACATACTCAAAGGACTACTACTGCTTTTTCTGTTATTTTCAGAAGGCCCAGAGACTCATGGTAGGTTAAAAACAGATTCTACAGAATTACTACGAGGGCATGTTCTATTTGTAGCATCACTGGGTTTGCAGACCCCACAAAGCATGTCAGTGACAGTCTGTTACTCTGCACTGCTTACAATATATCCATTATACAAACATGATGCTCAACTAAAGCCTGGCCAGCTCTGTCCAAGTCACAGAACCTACGAAGGAGCACAGAAGCTGACCAAGTCTATGTGGGCATTTGAAGCTCATGTAAAGGAGGAATCTTCATCTCAAAACCAAAACAGAAAGAAGAGTGATTACCAGCAGGGTAGTGGTGTACACACCTTTAATCCCAGCACTCGGGAGGCAGAGGCAGGTGGATCTCTGTGAATTCGAGGCCAACCTGACCTATAGAGAGAGAGAGTTCCAGGACAGGCTCCAAAGCTACACAGAGAAAACCTGCCTCGAAAACAAAACACAAACAACAACAACAAAAAACCCAAAAAACAAACAAAAAGAAACCCTATCTTGAAAAACAAAAACAAACAAAAGAGTGATTCCCCAAACAGAAAGGGGATGCAGATTTTTTGGTATGTAATAGAACAACTTTTCCACTATGATACTTTTCTTAGTTTCGTTTTGTTTCGTTTTGTTTTGTTTTGTTTTATTTTTTTGTTTTTCCAGACAGGGCTTCTCTGTGTAGCTTTGGAGCCTATCCTGGCACTCACTCTGGAGACCAGGCCTGCCTCTGCCTCCCAAGTGCTGGGATTAAAGGCGTGCACCACCAATGCCCAGCTATTAGTTTCATTTATAAAAGATTTATTTTGAAAACATAATAAAAACAAGTCACATTTGCAGACAACTATATAGAAATCTTTGGATTAACAGAATTAAAAATATCCACCTTACCTTGTAATAACGAAAATAGTCTCTTTCTTGTAACTTTTTTAATTTGGGGAAGATTTTGTAGTTGTTGAAGTTATCAATGCTGTCAATGTCACACAAGCAATCATCCAGAACTCCAGTCACCTAGAACATACATATATATAAGATATAAGATATCCAAATCACTAATGTTTACACCTTAATAAATCCATTATTTTAAAATACAATTTATTCATTCAAGTAGGTGAGTTTTACTGATTAAGATTCATAACATTAGGGCCAATGAAATGGCCTAGTGAGTAAAAGTGTTTGCTGCCAAGTCTGACGACCTGAATTCACTCTCCCTCCATATGGTGGAAGACGGGAGCTGACTCTTGAAACTTGTCCTCTGACTTTTGTATGCATGTCACGACACATGTGTACTCATGCCCTAAAACACACACAAATTCTAACTGTAAAAAGTACTTTTAAAATTCGTAACATTACAGCAGTCACTTTTCAACTATGGCAGTTCAATATAAAAAACAAAATAACCAAAACCAAGAAAGTTACATATATCTACTTTTAAATACTAAACCTCCTTTTAGAACTCAAAATCAGCAATATTTATGCCTTTCCTCGGCCTAAACACCAATAAAAATGCAAGTAGCCATTGGATTCCAGACTAGCCTAGAAGCCACAGTCTGTAAAGCCACTGCAAAGACCCACCTACATCTTTATTTTAGGCCGCCATTTATGTGCCAGGCATGGTGTGAAAAGCTTTAGTATGTCACCGCATTTACTCTTTAAAACTATCCTGCAAATACAGTATTACGGCCCTCATTGTAAGGAAATTATGGTTTAACAAGCTTACAATGACTGTTTTACATTCCCATGGAATTTAACTCCCAAATCTACCAGGCTTAAAGTCTGTTCTCCTTCACTACTCAAAGTATCCATGAATCCAAGAAGAGAAATAGGTATATAAAAGGTAAATTTCGAGTCCAAAAAAATCCATAAAATATTCTTCAGTTATAAAGTCATTTATAAAAAATGACTCTCAATATATATGCACAACTTGAATTAATCCCTAGAGAAGTCTCCTAAGTAAAACATAGCATTCCCCCAAAGTTGCATGCTATGCTTTCATGTACAGAATATCCTGAAAAGCTTTAGAAATAATGGAAAGTGTACTAGGCTCCAGGGCTTAGAGACTGGGTAGGGGATAAGAGCTGGAGTGGGAACAAGATAGTGTGGTAATATAAAGGCAATACAGACAGTGAGAAGGCCCAGCAGGTAACAACACTTATTCCCCAAGCTTGATGACCCGAGTTCAATCCCTGGATCGCATGGTGGCAGGAAAAAAAAAAACAATTCCCAAAAGTTGTCATCTGACATCCACATGTGTCTGTAAGTACATGAGGATTGTGCGCACATTGTGCAGGCATACATGCACACATGCACAGTGATGATGATGACAATGACAGGATAGATGCTTAAGTGGGCATCTACACCCACACATTTCATATGCTCACACACACATGCACACGGTCAAGCACACATGAAATGATAATGGTGAAGGGAGAAGGATAGGAACAGGATAGATGACTGGAGTGATTAACCTGATCCACATTCTCACTGTGGTGAATGCATGAAGCTGCAATGTAATAAATGTGCATACATACACATAAATAATGTAGAGTTGGGAAAATACTAAATCATTCTATCAATGGCAGCATCCTGTTTATAACTCTGTACTCTACCTTTACAAGAGGTACCATTGTGATAAACTTGGTAAAGGGAACATAACACTGCTCTATATTATTTCCTACAATTGCACATGAACTTAAAACTATTTCAATTCAAGTTTTTTAACTAAAAACAAGAATGGATTCTGCCTACTAAAGGTTCTGTTCATGAAGTCCTTGGATGTAAAAAGACACAAAAGCAGTGAAAGGAAGTAGAAGTCCTATCCAATTATTTTTCTTTCCCAGAGTGGAAATGTCTCTTTCAACTCCCTCCCACAGCAATGTTGAAGCAGCAATGTTGCCTTTACATAAAGCACAAGGGCTGGTTGTCCAGCATTTCTGCTCTGGAATCCTGCACTCACCACCCTACTTCCTAGAATCCTCTAACTCCCTAATTTCATTGAGACAGATAGCTACATATATATATGTGCATATGTACATATACAAATATGTGAATATACATACATATCTGTTTTTAAAATACTTTTTCTAAGCCAGGTATGGTGGCTGTCTTAGGGTTTTATTGCTGTGAAGAGATACCATGAACATGGCAACTCTTATAAAGGAAAACATTTAATTAGTTTAATTGGGGTAGGCTTACAATTTCAGAGGTTTAGTCCATTATCATTATGACAGGCAGACATAGTACTGAAGAAGGAGCTGAGATTTCTACATCTTCATCCACAGCAGCAGAAGGAGAAACTGTCACACTGGGTGTGGTTTGAGACCTCAAAGCTTGCCTCCATAATGACACACTTCCTCCAAGAAGGCTACACCTACTAATAGTGCCATTCCCTATGGGCCAAGTATTCAGATGAGTCTATGGGGGCCATATCTATCCAAACTACCACAGTGGCACATGCCTCTAACCCTAGCACTTGGGAGGCAGAGGCAGGCAGATCTCTGTGTTTGAGGCCAGCCTGGTCTACAGAGATAGTTCCAGGACAACCAGGGTAATGCAAAGAAGCACTGCCCCCACCAAAAGAAAACAACAAACAACTCTATCTAGTAATTGTTCTTTCTTAGTAATGTTTTTTAAACTAAAAACTTTTGGTTTGTAAACCATCATAGTTTCTTCTTTAAATAATTTGAAGGGGCTGTCAAGATGGCTCAGTCAGCAAAATGCCTGCCATACAACTATAAAGGCCTAAATTCAGATTCAGCATTCACATAAAAAGCTGGGGAAATAGCACTAGGGAAGTGGAGACTGAGGCTCTCTGGGGCTTTCTGGTCAGCCAGTCTAATTAAATTGATGGGCTCCAACTTCATTAAGACTCTGCCTCAAAAAACAAGGTACAGAGAGATTGATGGCACCCGATGTCAACTTCTAGCCTCCACAAGCCATTTTCATTGTGAGAAAGATAAGTGCTGCTAATATCTGTAACTTTTAAAGACCACTCAGATAAAACCTGTGTGCCACCAAAATTTGAAATGTACATGTAAATATTGCCCGAATCTTTGAAGTTTCTTCTCAATTTCATCTACCCAGAGGTAAAAAATAAAGCTTACTGCTGTGATCGATTTTCTTTGTAATGCATCCCTAACAACATACAATTCCCGTTTTCATAGTATCAGTATAATTTCCTTTCAATTCTTCAATGCTTTTGCTAACATTTTACATTGGCATTATCTATGATGGTGAGTTTTGCCTGCAGCTAGCTCATTCACTTTCCCTGTTGTAAATGCTGCATAATAAGAAAAAGCACAGCTTATCCATTCTATTTTGCTCCATGAAGAAAGAAGAAAGTCCACAGTGTGCAAAGTCCTGATTCCTAAGATGCTAACCTTCACAAATCTAACCTTTTTGCTGTTTTTATTGTTTCATTTTATTTTGTTTCTCTTTTTTTGTTTTGTTTCTTGAGACAAGGTTTGTGTAGCCCTTGCTGTCTTGGAACTTGCTCTGTAGACCAGGCTGGCCTCAAACTTAGAAATTCACCTGCCTCTGCCTTCCAAGTGCTGGGATTAAAGGCATGTGCCACCACTGCCCAGCTCACAAACTCAAGAGGATACTATTTTACAAAACAAGAGTCTTTAAAGATGTGACCAGGAACAGGTAAGATGGGTCATTGGGTTAAGGAGGCTTGCCGGGCAAGCCTGGTAACTTGAGTTTGATCCCTGGAATCTATGTAAAGTTGGAAACAAAGAACCAACTCTGTTCTCTGATCTCTACATGCATTCAGTGGCAAGCAAGCAAGTGCACTCTCCCTCCCACTCTCTCCCCCCCTCGCACCCAAACACACACCCACACACACACACACACACACACACACACACACACACTAAAAGTTTAAAGAAGAAAAATGTAAAGATGTGATTAAGGATCTTAAGACATGAAGACTATACTGGATTACTCAAGAGAGCAATAGAGTTGAAAGAATTCCTTATCAGGAGGAGGCAGGAGAAATTAGAAGAGGATACAGTACTGACATTGAAGATAAAGAAGTCACAAGCCAAAGAAAAAAGATGCCTTTAGAAGCTTGACAGAAGCACAAACAGTTCTGACCTACACCCTCCAGAACTCCCATCTTGCTGATGTCATAATTTTATCACTGTAAAATTCATTTTCAGATTTTTGGCCTCCAAAATTATAAGATTATAAAATTATAGTTTTTTGGTAACTAAATTCTGGAGATTTGTTATAATAGAAAACAAATGTATTCCATGTTGATTATGAATTTGGCTAAAGAACAAAGGTACACAAACATCTTTGTACATATATCTTGGGATACATGTGCAAAACTTTGGGTGTAAAATTGCTCTAAGTACACATTCAGCTTTATAGGTGAACAGCAAAATTTTTTATCAAGTCAGTATCTCACCACCAACGAGAGTTAATGTTGAGACACGCTCTCCTGAATATTTAATATTAATCTATGGTTTAATTATTACCAACCAAAAAAGCACAAAGAGGTATGAGGGAGTAGTGGATTCTTGTCCTAATGAAGTACTACATTAATTTCTTCCTGATTCTGAAGTTTGAGATGCTTGTCATCCAAATGTAAATGCTGGAAAATAAAAAATTAGATATGGTGATCTGGAACTGAGATTTCTTGTCTTCAAACATAAACCTGAGAGTCAGTATATAGATGATTTTTAAAAGCAAGCATCCAGATAGGTTGAATAAGACATAAACCCTGGTTCTCAAACCCTAGTGATCAAAAGCAGAGGAGAAACAAGCAAAGTGTTCTAAGATGAACTGGCCCATTACAGAGGAAGTCAACCTGGAAAGTTAGCATCCTGGATAACAAAAGAAGTACTTAAAAGAGAAAGGGTGGAGTTGGGGAAAAATTCTACTGACAGGTAAAATCTGAGGTTTAAGAACTACTACATTCTTCGAAACAAAGACATTGGTAACCTTGACAAGAGAGCAGTTTCAGGGTAGTGGTAGTAGTAGTAGTCTGACTGTAATGAATAGGCTAAATAGAACAGGTAGAATAAAATAGGTGACACAGAACAGGAGAAATAAAAACCCAGGAATTTTTCTAGATATAGAACTTAAAGAGGAGGAAGGGGTAACTCAATCAGTAATGTGCTTGATGAGGACCAGAGTTCAATTCCAGGAACCAAGATCATAGAATGACATTCACAACCCATCGGAGGAAGAAAAAATTTAAAGACCCTGGGAAAAAGAAGACATGAAGGGAACCATACCCTTGATTGGGAAAGAAGAAATGCCCCCTAACACACACTATAAGAGTACAAATGACTCATCTGTGGTTGTAACCAACACAGTCCCAACAGCTGGCAGAGACCAGTAAGTGGATTACTTTGTGGCAGTTCTCTTTTGTTAGGCATGGCGCTGACAGGGCAGAAGAGCAGATGATGAAGGATTAAGTTGAAAAATCTGTAATTTAAATTTCTTCAGCTGGGTGTAATGAGCTATTTAATTCATCCTCTGAGTTTCAAATTTTACTTCTTTTCTTTTGAGACAGAGTCTCAAGTAGCTCATGCTAAGAAGGAACCAGCTACTTAACTAAGACTAATCTTGAACTTCAATTTCATTATTTTTAATCTTTCGGTCATTCTTTTAGACCTGTTTTTTCATACTTCTATGTGTTTATTTAAATACATTAAAATGATATTAAATTACTTGCCTAAAAATTTCAGAACCTAAAGTAATTTACTGTCTCTAGTGTTTCTACTATAGATGTTCCTCAACTGCCTATGAGAAATCTCCCCCCATAAGCCCAATAAAACAATTCAAATGGAAATTCAGTCAAGTCACACAACTTACCATATTATCACAGCTCAGAAACACAGTACACAACTTGGGGAGTACAAGTTATTTACCCTTATGTTGGCTTAGCTGATGGAGAACTGTGGCTTACTGTCCCTGCCTAACATTGAAAGTACATAGCTAGTCAGAGACAGCAAAAAAATCAAAATATGAAGTAGTTTCTGCCAAGAAGATATAGCTTTCTAACATCTGTAAAGTTTAAAAAAAACATACTGTAAAGCCAAGAATCATGAAGCATGGGCTATCTGTATCTGATACACGGTGCCCTCTCACCTTGTAGTTTTGTGATAACTTTTTGGGGGGCACACCGATAGCTGTTTATTCCACTGAACACTACCTCAGAAAAAAAATCTTAAGTCCTTGAGTTGAAAATACATTTCCCTCAGAGGAATAGATACTTGATCTCTCTGGTAACCTGGGGGACATGAACCTGGGCTGGCTGTGAATTCAACTTCTAAGTGAAGTGTAACACCAGTGGTACAAACGTGGCCTGAACAGGCAGGTGACGGCAGCTCACAGTCACAGATTCTCAACTGAGTTTTCATCCCATTCTTCTAGCAAGTTCTTTTACTTTCCCCTTACTCAAAATGGGACTCATTTCTCATTCACATTTATACTAAGGATGTAGCTCTTTGGGGTCCAGCCTTTGTGGTAGTGTCTCATCATTCTTCCAGGTTAGGGAAGGCACTGGTGTTATTTCTTGCCAATTCCACCCCCATGAAGCTGTGAGGCTAGAAGCTTGATCTTTGGTGCTTAAAATTCATTTGCCCTCAGGGTAAAGGAATAGTTAGACACTGAGTCCCACATTTCTGACTTCCATTTGGTGGGGAGCTATGTGTTTCTTGATTTCATGCTACCGCAGGTGGGCACTTTAAAGGATTTCAAATATATCTGACTGAGACATCCTTTTACAGGAAAATTGTATGTTACATGCCATGAACCATATTTGCATTTCATTTATAAGAAAATGGGGCAGGAGATATACAAATGAACATCCTTTCACATGGTCAAAAATACTTTCCTGCTTTCAATATAGAAGGCAAAGTACCCATTTCCTTAAATGAGTGATTTCTTATGAAAAGAAGTGTTTTTCAAAAATTCTAATTTCTTCATTTAGCTTTACTATATTTTTGCTACCAAGTTTAAGATGCATGAGAAAAAGAAAAAAAACTGTTTTTGTCTCACTTTCTGATTTTCTGGTCTTTGCTTCTCTATACTCTGAAGCAAGTATGCCAATTTGTTAATACTGTGTAGAGCAGAAGGGCTTACACCAGGGCCCCAGTTTATGTCACTTAACAAGTCAACTAAGTTCTCTGAACTTCACTTACCACCACAGCCTTATATGTGAGATATATACCAAATAAAATGTAATACATAATTAAGCATTTTATAGTTTAAGGTGCTATTTAAAAATGTTATCAAAAACTATATTAGAAAGTACCACTGGAAACAAAATAGACACTTTTGTAGACTGTTTAGAACAGTGATACTTTGAAATGCATAAATATTTAATTGTTGACTATATATATTCATTTGGATATAAGGAAATAGAATTACAGGTGCATTATAAACCACTAATAAGTATGATTATTGGTAGCTGGAGAAACCTTAAGTGAAGCTTCTAGACTGGCAATAAAATATTCAATTAATTTACAAGAAAATGAGAAACTAGACTTCATAAAAACATCTAAATGAAAGTTCCACTCAGACCAAACAAACTAGTACTTAGAAAATAATTTTGCTATTGACAGCCTGGGAAGTTTATTTTTGCTAAGTGTAGTAAATACATCCAGAATTCTATCATAGTGTTTTCCAAGCCAGGCTAAGATGTAGTGGAAAAAAACAACTGAATTACAGATATTTGCAAGGCTTGTTTAAAATGCTGATTCCTTGTTCAGTTCCAGATGGACTCAGAATATATTGAAAGGGGTCAGAGAATCTCCAAGTTCAACAAAGAGTTTCTTTTCCTTTCCCTTTTTTCCTTCTCTTTCTCTGGTTGGCTCACTGTTTAGTTTTTTGTTTTTGTGGGTTTTTTTTTTTTTTCTTTTGAGGGAGGGTCTTTCTATGCAGTCCTGGCTAGCTTGTAACTTGAAATGTAAACCAGGCTAGTGTTCAACCTGTGGCAATCCTCCAGCATTTTGCCTCCTGGGTGCTGGGGCTACAGGTGTATACCACTATTTCTAGCTGCTATTTTTATTTTTTATCAAATGATTCATTTAAAGAACATTCTCGTGGACACGAACAGAATATCCAAGCATTTTAGGAATTAGTGCTGGGCATTATAGCACCAACAACAAAGTCAGAAAAACATGTTTACACGGTTACCCTCAGTTACCATCAATTTTTTCTTAGCGATGAGCGTTAATTGCTTCAAACTGCATGCCCCTCATTATCAGGCCATCTGAGACACTTTTGTTTTGCTTCAGTTTTGGCTCTTTGAGCTAACACTTTGCAGCAGGTGCAGACAAGATGCAGCAGCATCTGGCAACCTATTCAAATCTTACTCACTAAACAAAAAAACCAACAAACCTACCTCTCTTCAAGGCAAAAGGCTGTGATCAGCTAACCCTTGGCTTTCTAGCATATAGAGAACGGCTCAAGGAAGCAGCCCCCAAAGTCCAACGGGCACTCCAAGCAAGCCTCATTATAGACTTAGAGGCCCACAGTCAGGGCCCAGACCTTCCAGGGCCGTAAGTGGGCTCACCTAGCGATGCCACTTTGCATACGTAGGACAGGTGGGTAATAATAAAGCGGTCAATTACTAGTACACAAGTTTAAGGAAGTGAAGTCCTGTGTCCCTTCAAGTCCTCTCAGGAAGAGGGAGGAGAGCCTCCCTGTCATCTCCAGAGGGAAAGGTGTCAGAGGTTTCGATCCCACTCTGGCTCACGACACTGAGGTTTTTCTCCCTGTCACCATCACAATGATAAAGCCGCTAGCGCTTACTGGCCCTCACCATCTTCCTCTTCCGTCTGCCTCCGCCACGCGTGTCGCGTCCTCGCGCCAGCCGTGCTTCGCAGACGTTTCCCGCACTAGCCGGTGCGGTTCTCTCAGTCCCTCGCCAGCCACTCGCACCTGCACCTCGGCCTCTCGGCGACGCCGGTGCGGCCCGTCCCCTGCCTCCCGCCTCTCGGGCTTACCTGGGTCTTGACAAGACTTGGGAGGAAGCTCAGGGTGACCAGCAATTGCACGGCGACCGCCGCCCCCTGCCCGGAGACGGCCCGGCGGAACCCCAGACTCATGGTGACCTCAGCCGCTCGGAGCCCGCGACGACGACGGCCGGAGTCAGTGTCCCGGAGCCGGGAGCCGGGAGCCTCCAGGACCCGAGCTCTGCGAGCCGGCCTCAGGATGGAAACACTCTACGGTTCCCAGCAGCAGCGACTAATGTACCAGCGCTGCGCGCCCCCGCTTCATCCCAGGAGGCCCCGCCCCCGGCGTCCTCAGTTGTGATCACGCCCTCTGTGCAATGCCTTCTGGGAGTTGTAGTCCCGATATCCCCTTGAGGCCCCCCCACAACGGGAAGGCCTTGAAAATGGAGAACTACAGACTCGGAGGTCGCTCTGCCTCCCTGAGGCGGGGCTCCGCGGCGGCCAATGAGGCGGGACCACGAGGACTCCAAAACACCCTAGAGCGGGCGGGAGAGCGGGTACTGTTTTAGGGGTTGGCGGTGGCAGCGAAGCCTCTATTTCGTCGCTCTGGGAAACCAGGCTGCCCCCCCCCCCCCCCCGCCGGCATTGTGCCGGTTGCTCCTTGTCACCGCTTGTCCTTTGGAGCCGAGACATCTTCAACAGGCGAGATATTTAACCTGCTGTCCCAAGAGTTTCCTTTGCTTCTTTTCTCACCTCTGTAGAGGTACCTCCACCTGGCATCTTATCCAGGTGTCTTGCTTCTTTTCTCACCTCTGTAGAGGTACCTCCACCTGGCATCTTATCCAGGTGTCTTCAGCACCTCCTTCATGTCACACGGCCCAGAAGTGAATGCTATTGCTTGGTGTCTCCTCTACTCCTCTACCAACACCACAAAAATCTATAATGCGCTTTAAAGCATGAAGATAATCCCAAACCTACAAAGGGAAAAAGAAGAAACGTAATGAAGGCACAGAAAAACGTGAAGTGACATGGGCTATCCTAAATTTAACACATTTTACTTATAAACATTACTGCTCAGATGGAAAGGTGTTCTGGCAGTCGGGAGCCAAGGAATACCACAAAGTCAGTTTCGTGGTCTTAATTACACCTCAAATATTGTACTAGGACTGTGTAAGATTATGTACATAGGTTTCCTGTAGTGCCTAGCAAATAGGAAGTGTTCAATAAATGGTAATCACTATCTTTATCAATATCCCTGAGTTATAAGGAACAAGTTAGGTAGTGTATATTTGCCATTGTTGGTGTAACAAATGACCACAAATTTAGTGGTTGAAAACAAATTCAATGTATTATCTTACATTTTGGAAGCCAGAAACCCAAAATGAATCCACAGTACTGCATCCATTTGGAGTATTTTAGACAACAAGGTTTCCTTGCTCTTTCCAGATCTGGAACCACTAGCATTCCTAGACTCAGGACCTCACATGACACCGTGGCATAACCTGCTTTTGTTGCCATGTGCTTTCTGACCCTATCTCTCTTGTTCATCTGCATGGGGCTCACCCAGATAATCCAGGCAATCCCTTTATCTCAAAATCCTTAATCCCATCTTCAAAGACTCTTTTGCCTTCACATATCTACAGGCTCCAGAGATTAGGGCAGGGACATCCAGGCCTCCCATTAATCAACCCAGCAGTGCTGTATATCAGAGAACATTCGCATACATGATTCCTCCGGACCTATTGCATAATCTGTAGGGTCAGCTGGAAATGAAAGTTCAAGGCCTCTTTTAAAAAAATGCGAGGAACTTCAAGACAGTGACAGCATAGCAATAAACCCAAGTACAAGGCCCTGGAACTCCACTTGTGTTCTCCTGAAGCCAGCTCCCTTGGCCCTTTTCCCCACACTTCTTTTGCTTCCTCTGGACCAGGACTTCTTTACCTACATAATCAACTTGCTTCTCAAAGCTGCCTTTCCACTCTTCTCATTTCTTTGTGCTTTGGATATGCAGAGACTTTCCTGGAGTCCCTTTGGCTTCATTTGTTCCTGATAACACATACACCATGGAACATGGCCATAAGCTTTTTTTTTTTTTAGTTATCAACTATACTATTTTATTTCTTTATATTTATTTTGGGGTTGGTTTTTTATTTTTTGAGAAATAGTTTCTCTGTGTAGCCCCGACTGTCCTGAAACTCACTCTGTAGATCAGGTTGGCCTCAAACTCAGAGATCCTCCTGCCTCTTCCTCCCAAGTGCTGGGATTAAAGGTGTGTGCCACCACCACCCAGGATAAACTGTCCGGTTTTAAAATTTCAAGTTTTTAATATTTGATATCAAGGGCAGAACCTATGCCTGTCATTCAGAGCACTTCAGGGTCTGTCAATGAAGGAAAACTGGATTGATCAATTGATATAAGGGAAAAAGTTTGAAAAAGTTATAATGCAGTCACTGGGTTGTGATGGCGCACACCTTTAATCCCAGCACTCAGAAGGCAGAGACAGGCGGATCTCTGTGAGTTCGAGACCAGCCTGGTCTACAAGAGCTAGTTCCAGGACAACTTCCAAAGCCACAAAGAAACCCTGTCTTGGAAAAAAAATAATGGAGTCATATGGCACACTTTTTTGTTTTTCAGCTTAGAAACTTGACTCACAGTGTTTGGGAACAATTTTCCCTTCTTGGTGAGTAAAATCTGAAATAGGTGTTTTTCATGAGAAAGAAGGGTATGGAGGGTCACACTGACCTGTGCTGTGATCTGTTTTAGTGTTTATTGTAATGAGCAGTGTGAGGGGATTGTGAATTGATGGACAAACTGCCTTCCACAGTTTAGCTTTCCTTAAAATCAACTACATCGAAACTAGCATTAGGGTGTGCATTGCCTCTGTGATGCCAACCATGCTTCTTACCTATGATCCTCAGTTTCAAACTTCCCATCCTAATGATGGAGTTGGAAGTTGAAACATCACTTTAATGGCAAACTATAGGGAAAAAGTTAGATCTATCTAAATTTCACAACAACAAAATAATAGTAATTAGGAAAAATGACAACTTGTGGAACTGAACAAGGCTTCAGCACTTACAACTCTGGAAAGTTGAGTCCATCAGGGTGTAATTCAGGGACCAATGGGAGCAGTACTATTGGTTACCTTATTCCACAACTTTGCCATTGTACTTGAAAGACCCCTGCCCCTTAGCCCTTTCTTTCTCAAGTTTGTCTCCTCTTCCTCCTGTCGGCGGCTTCCCTGATCCCCAC